CACCCAAATAATTTGTTACAAACACTCTTCATCCTACCCTACTCCACTCCACTCCACTCCACCCCACCACCACAGCACCACCCAAATACCGTGTCAAGTTACCACCACCACCTATACCACCAAATCTGACGAACAAGCCTAAAATCAACATATGAAAGAAATTATGAGATCCGAAGACAAGATGACTAGAAATACCAACCAACATAGTTGTTCGTGATGTCAACGGTGCCATTCAAGGAAGTTCCGAGAAAAATGCCAACAACGTACTTCTTGGTATCTCGCGCAACTCGATTGTAGTGGTCGACGATGCTCAAGAACACTAGTGAATGCACCATGCACCACCATATCGGATTAACGTGTCGATATTTGCTGTGATTTTATAACATCCATTGTTTTAGTTTTTGATTTTATAGAAGATTTTTACGTGGGTTTGATATTCAATCAGCGATGATTTCTTGAGCAAAAAGAAAAATATCTCTATTTCTTGAGCAAAAAGAAAAATATCCTTGATAGACTACTTTTCTCGCAGAATGAATTGGATCTAAACTTACCGACCTTTGTTTTGTTCATTTATTTGTTCTACTGGATTTCGTAATGGCAGGCAACGATAGTGAAATAGTGGTGGCGACAGGCAGCAGTTGTGGCGGAGTGGGTGTGAATTGTGACTTAGAGAATGGGTAAAATTATTAGTGGGGTGATTTTAGGTGAGGTGAGGTATGGTGTGTTGGAGGTATAGTATAAACCTGATTTTTGAAAGAATAAAGTTAACGATTGTGCTACATATACATAATAGTTTACATACACGTAATGTGCTGGTGTATGATTTTAGAAATGGTAAGTTAAAAATTAAAGCTAGCTGTAATTTCCTCTATCAAGAAATTGTCGAGATTATGGACTGTTTAACATTGTTATAAAAATCGGATTGGACCAACTGGTTCAACCGATAGAACCGTGAACTGGCATCTAATCTGATTCGATACTTATACATTAACCGGAAAACAAAAAACGGCTAATAAACCATCAACCCGACAGATTTAACCGTGAACCGAAAAACTGGTCAGGTTTTTCTAGTTAATATAATTATTATTTTTTACAAAAAATTTTAACTATCTTGATGGGCCACCTATTGTAATAGAAGACCTAAATAACTTTTTTATACAAGTGATGTTCCTCTACCTCCATTTTAAAGAAGATTCTTCTTTCAATATTTTAGTAATCTTCCAGTGTGTTACTAACTCCTTTTTAAAGGAGACTCTTCTTTCAATGTTGTTGTAATTTCCAATGTGGGATACTAGTCAATCGTCAATTCTAAGTGTTTAATAATTTACTTCATCATTTTCATTAAAGAATCATAATCCCCAACAAGATTATAATCACAAACAATTTTAATTTGAACAATGCAAATTATTTTGGACATATTAATTGTTAGTTTTTGATATTACAAAATAAATTACCATAATAAATATAATTAACAAACATGGATTATATTTACTTTGAATTAGTAAACTAAAATTAAAAGAGCTATTATAGTTATGATATTTTATAGTTTATTTGTGAATTTATTTTGTCATCCAATTCAATACCAGCTTGACCCCGGTTTGACCCTGTAACCCTCGACCCTCTTCCTTTGTTGGGGTCGATGCCTGAATCGATTTTTAAAACATTACAATTTAGGGAGCTATTAGTTCCCCCAGGTTACAAATATTTGTAATGAAATTGTGACAAAACTTTCCCAAGTTTCTTATATATTGTTTAAAACGTGAGATTAAATGTTATTATACATTATTAAATACATATTTTTCAAAGTTTATAATTATTTATAAGTTGATCAACTCTATTCTTGTTCGCAATTACGTAGAGCTCACAACTTTTACCTAATTTTATATACACTTCCTTGGAACTCACTGCTTATTTTATAAACTTTGACAAACATGCACTAAAATGTAGAAGTAAATGGAATGTTTATGTGCTCTCTTGTTATAATATATTGTAACAAGATTAAAATGTTGTATGTGTTTAAGTAAAAATATTACAACTCTTGTAGGTGCATAGTTGCACGATTTTAGACCCAATAAGTCGTTTGTGTTTAAGGAAAAAAAAAAAAAAAGAAAAGAAAAACAGTAGTAAGGTTGTTAGCATCTCCAATGCATCATGTGAATTGCCATTTAGGTGATATGCAAATAGAAAAGGTTTTCGATTTACGTGACATTAATATCTAATGAATAGATGGCTAAGTCCAAATTCCATCTCCAATTAATTTTGTCTATAACTCAAATTTCATCTTCAATGTTTTTATGTCTAGTGTAAAATGAACCAAGCTTTCGTAAATAAATAAAGTAACAAAAATATGAAAAGCAAATACTAATTGAAATTTTTCTCAAAAAAATAAATAAAAGATATTTTAACTTATTTGTGGGTAAGATAAAAGAAAAATTTTAAAAAATATAGAGTGATTATATTCACAACACATTTTTTATTAAATACTGGGGTTGGGTAAAATATCTGAACCGAACCGAACCGGAACGGAACCGAACCGGAACCAAGCGGGTTTTTTAAAATGAAATACCCAAACGGGTATCCGAATTGAGAACCGAATTGTTTGGTTCAGTTTTCGGTTCTAGACCCAGAACCGAAGAACCGAATAAGAACCGAATTTTTTTTTTTAATATTGGATAAATTAATTTCTTTTATTTTTTCTAAACAAATTAATAATTTTTTTCTTATTAAATCTTATTAGTTGAACAATTTAGAGTTTATTTATGTTTGTTAGTTGTGTTTTTTTCATTTTTTCTTGTATAGTTTCTTAATAGTTAGTATGGAAAGTCAAGCAACTGATAATTATATTAAATAGTTGGTAAGTATTATCAATATTTTAAAATATTTTATCTTTATGACTTCTAATTTATATTTCATTTTTATGTAGATTTAAAGGTTTGAAACAAATGAATTATTGATATGAATAATTGAAATTTTATTAGTAATGTTTACTTTTTGGTATTTATATTTGACAACTTATTATTTATATGTTATTAAATTAGATTACGTTAATTTGTAAAAGTTAAGATTGAACTTGGTATTTGTATCCACTTTTTGTTATTAATATTAGTATCTACTTTCAGGTGTATTTATATAGTATTATTTTAAATGTTAAAAAATTTAATTATAGTATGGAACCGAACCAAACCGAAACCGAATAGTTCCAAAATTATATTTGGAACCGACGGTTCCATTTACTAAATATCCGAAAATTTCTGGAACCGAAAAAAATCGAACCGAACCGACCCGCGCCCACCTCTATTAAATACATCACATATTATTTAAGTTAAAAGTTCTTCACCTTTATTTATTGTCTTATTTATATTCTTAACTTTTCTTTCACCACATTCTTATTTTTAAAAATTCAATAACTTTGCAAATATTGTCCTTAATTATGATATCCATGCAAAAATATTATTAATGACTTTACAACGAGGGATTAATATTTGTCGTAATTTTATACTTGTTTCTTTTTTGGCTTATTCAAAAAATATGATGACAAATAAGTCTTTTTAATTCGTCTTAATGAAATTTTTGGATATGAAGCGTAATCAAGGGCAAGTTGTTTTAATTTGAGAATAAGAATACAATGAAAAAATTGGAAACATAAATGTAGTCATGACTAAAGATTATGGACTTTTTATGCAAAATTTGGTATAATTATTAAAAAATATTCTGTAAATATATTTAGATTAAAAATATAGAAAAAATAAAATTTTGTCAATGATATCAGAGTATCAACGACTTTCTCTCCAGGATCAACAATTGAAGCATTGTAGGAGATTGCCAACAACATGAGCAATGGTGCCGCTATTGGTAATTATGTATGAATTACTGATAAATATTGATTTAAAATAACCTTAATTGAATTATGCATTTTTGTTGGCCATCATCAATCTTCTCTAAGACCCCAAGTTGCTTGAGTCGCTTCCAAAATGATCCTCCAACTCTTTATTATAATTGTATAGTTACTCTCCAACAACGTAAATCATTCAAGACTTTCATCAATCTGTCAAATGACCTGCATAAAAATATACATCATTTCAAATTCTCTCGTACTGACCTACAATTATGAAATAAAAGCCTAATTTCATGTAATTAGACATACAAAAACCACACGATAATTTTCCATGAATCTTGATAGTTACTATCATTATGAATTGATCGGATAACTAATAATTAAAGGTCATGACTAAATTGCTACATTATAGAAGTTGAGAACTGACTTGCTATTAGAGCAATACAGCGGGATCATTCGTATAATTTTTGCATAAAGTTTTATATAGCCTCTTGGTGAGGATTAAAATCAGATTTTTAGTAGATTTTGATAAAAGTTGATGAAATGTACTATTGAAAAGTCGTAAGACATATGAAATATATGGTTAAAATTAATTGTTGACTTCAACTTATACTAGAATTTGAATTGTAATCGATACTTCTTTGATAGAAATTATAATTTAGATTTTTATCAAAATTGAAGTCAACGATTAATTTTAATTAGATATTTCATGATCCCACAACTTTTCAATCACATATTTTATCAATTTTTATTAAAATTTGTTGAAATTTTGATTTTAATCTATATTTTGGAGCTGATGTGGATAAAAGAAAGTGAAAAATCAAAAGCAGCCATCTTTTACGACTCAGGATAATCGAAAAACCATTAAACATATGAATTATTCTAGAAAGGCCACGGACAAACATGTGGCTGTGAATTCATCTTCCTCTGCTTACGTGTCACCCCACACTCTCTCTCTCTGCTCTCCCACTATCCCTCAGGTCCAACCCAACAAAATCAATCAAAACAATAAATCAAAACCTTAACAAAATCAAAATCCTTTGAGAAACTCGAATTTCCCAACATAGAAGAAAGAGAAAGTGAACTGCTGTCAGCAAAAAGACTTTCCCTTTATATAGATAGATAGATACCTACAGATTACATATATATAGAGAGAGGAGGAAAAATGTCAGAAGTGATAAAATGCTCTGCAATTAAGCTGTTTGGGACGACTATATCATTGCCACCTGACAAGGGTTTTGCAGCAGCTTGTCATCTTCAAGAGCAGCAAAGCTTTAGCTCCTCAATATCATCAACTACATGTGACTATATTAAGGTTTGCAGAACAAATATATGCCTCTGTGCGTGTATGTCCAATCTTGATGTTTTTAGTCTATATTATTGATATATTTGCAATTCTAGGGGAAATCTTTTTGTTTGAAGTTGTAGATTGATAAAAGGTTTTGTTTCAGTTTGATTAAATTCTGGGATTTGTTGTCTGATGTTGTAAGGATTTATGAATCCCTCTGTTATTTCTTGATTTTCTAGTCAATTTTTGATCTTCTAACTAGATAAATGAGAGTTTGGTAGTGTGGTACTACGATTATGTTATGCAGATATGTCCATTATATGTTAGCCTACGATGTCCCGTCTCCTTATCGAACGTGCCTAAGGAGTGTTATGAAGTCGGAGCATTTTCATATTTTATTTATTTCTTAATTTATTTGGGTACAGATTCATTAGACTACATTTTCAAATTTCAACTGCTAGAATTTAAACTTTTGGAACTCTTGAATTGCTGATGACTGTCATCCTAGAAATTAAAACTAAAATGTTTGAAATTCTTGTTACTTTATTTGTATCTCACGTTAAATTCCTTCATTTTATCAGAGCGATTCAGAAGGAGATTTAACTGAGACGAAACGAGAAGATGTTGCCACCAAAACGGCTGCAGAAACACTAATGGAACCAGTAACATCATCAGAGCTCAGAGATGACCCCGAGACTTCGGGTAAAGACTCGTTGTTGTCCCCGAAAGCTTGTAAAACAGAGGAACCGAGTGAGAGCGGTGTCTCTCAAGAAAAGACCCCGAAAAAGCCAGACAAAATACTTCCCTGTCCTCGGTGTAAGAGCATGGACACTAAGTTTTGCTACTTCAACAATTACAATGTCAACCAACCCCGGCATTTCTGCAAAATGTGTCAGAGATATTGGACGTCTGGAGGAACAATGAGAAATGTGCCCGTTGGTTCAGGTCGATGCAAGAACAAAAATGCTTCTGCTTCAAATTACAGTAATATGATCGTCCAGGATACCCCCCAAGCAGCTCAAGCTATTGCTATAACGGGGATGTACTTTCCCTGCTTGAAACCAAATGGCACTGTCCTTATGTTTGGTGCAGAGAGTCCCCTTTGTGAATCCATGGCTTCTGCCTTGGATATTGCTGAGAGATCGCAAAATTGTGTCAGAAATGGATTTTATGGACAAGAAAACAGAAACCCCGTGCACCATGGGAGAAGAGAAATAGGTAAGGATCACTCGAGTAGATCTTCTGGAATTCCTGGGACTTTTGATCCAACAATGCCCAATTGGGGCTGTACCGTACTTAACAGTTGGAATGTGCCATTTCTATCCCATCCATCGTCGTCTGATAATTCTTTCTTAAGTACCAATCCTGCTCCCCCTACACTCGGTAAACATTCTAGGGATGGGAACATACATAGACCACCATATATAAAAACATCAGATGTTTCCGAGAAAAAATTGCAGAGAGATGTGCCTGGATTCCTAAGACATTGAGGTTTGATGATCTAAATGTGGCTGCAAAGATCTCTCTATGGTCATCACTTGGAATCAAGAATGAGAAGATTGATTCAGCAGTACGTTTCTTTAGGACACGTCCCGCAAAAGGGAACAGGAATAGTAACATAGACAGTACTTCTTTGGTGTGACAAGCAAATCCAACAGCTTTGTCTTGGTCATTTAACTTCCGCGAGAGTATTTAACGAGACAATGTTTGTGTTAGTTGTTCTACAGTACCGAAACTTAAATCAAGGATGCTTAAACATTACATCCTGTTTTTGTCCATTTAACAATGATGGAATCAGTTGATGAAGTATTAAGGAACTTGAAAAGAGAGCAGGTAGAACAAGCTAAGGACTGTTAATAAACGCTTCCCTCGGAGACTTCTAAAGCATCTGTTTCGAACAGAATAAGCAGTTCTATGTGGTATTTCGTTTATTCCAGTAAGAGGTTTCTGTTGTACATAGTCGTTTTATACAAAATAGAAAGATATCTTCGAAATTTTCTTCTGAATGTACTAAAGTAGAGATCTCGATGACATGATCAGTAGATAAACAAAAGCTTCTATTCTGCTGGTTAATGGTGCTTATTCTTGGTGAAAGAAAGTTATTTGCACAAACTCATAGACTATATGTTCCGTTGGAAAGCTCTGGAACCTCGGTTAACCGTGGTCGATGTCTAGATTCCCTGTATCTACATAGGTCGAGTTGAATACTATTATTGCATAGCTGGCATAAGTTCGATTTTTCACATTTCTAGCTGGAACTCCACATCAGTCATAAATCTAACCAATTTTGCCCCGCACCTTTCAATGGCACAACATTACTCATAACATAAAAACTCGAAAAGTTTTCTAGTGATAAGAATCCCATAAAGTTAATGTTATGAAATAACCAAAATATATCTTGTTAGAAGAAATATCAATATACCTGGATCGTTGTTAGCAATGTTGGAAATATAAGAATTATGTATTGTTTGAATACCACTTTTATGAACCAACCATCAAAATGAATTGTTGAAGTTATACGGCAAATAATAAAGTATTAGATCAAGCAAAAGAATGATAAAAACAAGAACTATAGCAGAGGAATTGAGAAGTTTTATTGATTTAAGAATAATGAAGAAGAGAGAAAATTATAATAGATCTTATAATTCTAGTAATTTATTTTTTCACACTATAAAATTGTATAGAAGAGTCTAATATTTATAGGGAACATGTAGGGAACGTCTCAACCCTCCTAATAGAGTTGTTGATGAAGTAGAATGGTAAAAATTCGAGTCCAAAACAAATTTCAACTTCTAATTGGCTTCCAAAATAGAACTTCAACTTAACATAGGACTCCAATAGCATTCCAAATTGAATTCTTCTTGACGTGCACTTCAATTAAAATACTTCAATTACTTCAACAAGAAATTCGGGTCACACCCAAATTCAACAATCTCCACCTTGATACGAATTTCACTACAACGAACAAAACTCCAAAATATTCTTCACTTAGATAAGAAAATTTGTCTGCAAAGAATGAACCGACTCTTCAACAATAACCAAAATTGATTTCTCTAACCAATACAAAATACACATCTTCCAATAAATTCAAGCACTATTCTACAGAATTACCTCAGATTCCCAAAAAAAATCATAATAATTTTAAAATTCACCAAATTGGGCTGTAACACACCTCAAAGCAGAATCAAACCCAAATATTTTTAAAGAAGACCAATCGTTAGATTGTACACCTTCTACTACGCTGAAAGCATGCTCAACAAAATCATCATCCACATACCTTTTACCACTGGGTCCGTCCTTAACAATTGAATACAATGGCACCACAGGTGATCGTGGTAAAGTAACTCAACTGAGCAATATTCTTCAAATTCGACCATTTACGAACTCCTAAAGGTATTGTACCAAACTAAATGTCCACCACGGTATTGAACTTGTGCTGACTGACTCTCCTAGATTCTGCATAACCTGAAAGATGTATAATTGAGACATTTTATGTCCCTCCAATACAACTTGGCTCCTTACAAACTTTCAAAACTCAACCTCCACCAAATAACTCATAACCTTTTGAATCAAGGATAGACAACGAGATGAGATTCTTCTTCAGATTCGGAACATGTCGAACCTATCAAAGCGTTCTAATTATCTCATCCAATAGCTTCAATCTGACCGTACCAATTCCAGCAAGTTGACAATGTGTGTTGTCTCTCATAACCACGACACATTTGGAAATTGTTTCATATGTAGTAAACAAGTCTTTATTATGACACATATGAAACATACACGCTGAATCCATAATCTAATCCTCTTTTGGTTTAGACTCGATGCCATAAATAGCCAAGAGATCTCCCTTACTTACAATGTTCTCCGAGAGGTCTACTTTACCTTAAATCTCTATTGCTTCTCATATCGACTTGCAGCCAACCTTTCTTTATTCTGCAATTTGTAGCAATCCTTCTTCATGTACCCCTTCTTCTTGCAGTAGTTATAAATCTGATTACTGAATTTAGACTTCAATCTGCCCCTTCCAGAACCAAGCATTTTCATCTCTGGCCTAAAAAATCAGATGTTTCATCTTCTCTTTTAAATACAAAGTATCATACACATCCTCTATGGTGAGAGTATCACAACTATACAAGATCGTGTCTCTAAATGAAGAAAACGAAGTGTGCAACGAACACAATAGGATCAAGGCCAAATCTTCTTCATCATACTCTACTTCCAAAGTTTCCAAATCAGGGACGATCTCTTTAAATACAGTTGGGTGATCTTCCAATGATCTTCCTTCTGTCATTCGATAAGAGTATAAACGATGCTTGGGGTTCAACTTACTTGTCGAACTTTTAGTCATACACAATTGCTCCAACTTCAATCATAAAGCAGCTGGTGAACCCTCTTTCAAAACGTCATAAAAAATGGCATTCGATAGATGAAAATGAATGTGAGAAACTGTCTTCTTATCCTTCCATAATTTCTCCTCTGCGATCAAAGTTGCGGGTATATTGTCAATTTCTAGCAACGCATCATCCAAATCTTGATATGCGAGTACTGCACGCATCTTAACCTGTCATAGCGAAAATCTAGTGTTTCGATCCAATAGCGAGATTTTATACTTCATGGAAGCCATCACGAACAAAAAATCTCGAACACACCAAACCATGCGCTCTTGCGAACTGCTGAACCTGGTGCTCTGATACCACTTGTTATGAAACAACCAAAATATCTCTTGTTAAAAGAAATATTAATATGTTGGATCATTGTTAGCAATATTGGAAATACAAAAATTATGTATTGTTTGAATACCACTTGATGAAACCAACCACCGAAATGACTTGTTGAAGTTATATGAGAAATAATGAAGTATTAGATCAAGTAAAAGAATAATAAATACAAAAAATATGACAGATGAATTACATGATTTTATTGACTTAAGAATAATGAAAAAGAGAGAAAATTACAATGGATCCTATAATTCTAGTAATCCATTTTCTCACACTACAAAATTGTATGAAAGAATTTAATATTTATACGGAACATGTAGGGGACGTCAAAACCCCCTATTAGAGTTGTTGATGAAGTAGGATGTCAAAAAATCGAGTTCAAAACAAATTTCAACTCCCTATGAGTTTCTAAAATAGAATTTTAACTTGACATAGGATTTCAATAGTACTTCAAACTGAATTCTTCTTGACGTGTACTTCAATTAGAATTCTTCAATTATTTCAACAAAAAATTCGGGTCACACCCAAATTCTAACAATTAAAAATCCAACTTACGTGGTGAATTTGGAAACATTTTCAAAAGTGGGACATTTCTTATGGAACTAGTTCTTTATCATGTCATCTCTAATCCTACACCAAAATTTGAGATAGGTTTTGCGTCATTTTATACCAAAATCTTGCACTAAACTGAAAATCACATCCAACCCATTTAGTGGTGACAATTGAGCCGAGCGACTTGTCTGCTCGGCCGCTCGACTCGTACTGTAGCGACCCACGAGCCACTCGGGCTCGTCAAAAAACGTGCTCGAGCACGAGCCGAGCGGGCCGCTTGCTAGACAATTCGAGTTGAGCTCGGCTCGTTAATAAGATGAGCCCTCGTGGGCTCGTGAAAAAATCATTAAAAAAATAATAAAATAAAAAGCTAAGAAAAGCTTTTAAAAAAAAGAGCCATGAGCATCTGCTCGGCTCGTGGCTCGTTTCTCCACGAGCCGAGTCGAGCTTGTGGCTTTAAGGGCCAAGCCGGCTCGGCTCGAACCATTGATATCACTAAACCCATTGTATCAAATGAACAGCATTTAATCATTTTTTTCATTCTTCACAATTTTTTTATTTGAAAAATTATTTTTTTATTTACTTTACTATTGCATAAATTACTAAATAAATAATTACGTTTCGTTAATGAAAATATTGAATACATTCCTTAATTATTATTTTATAACAAAAATATTAAATATTGAATTCGTGAATGAAAATATTATATAATTACGTTCGTTAACAATTTTAAAACTTTTTGAGTACTTTTATTCTAATTCATTCGTTGGGTAGTATTGATTACATAGAAAAAAATTTATTACAAATGAACGTAGTAGTAGTAGTAGTAGTAGTAATTTATTGTATTAAAACAAATATAACCAAGATGGACACAAGTACCCTTAACCAATGATTTTACAAATTGAAAGAGAGTGGCAAAATTGTACTTAATCATTTTGGTGCAAAATAGTGCAAAGTATGGTGCTACATTGGAGGGACTTTGCACCATTTTTGGTACAACATGGTATTTTGATGCACACAATGGAGTTGCTCTCAGTTCCCCATTTGTCGAGATAAAGTTGAATTAAAGATAATAAAATGCCAAACATCCATCCCTTTCAGTTGAAAAGCATCTAGCCCAGTGTTGCAAAAAGGTAGAAATGCTAGAATATAACCCTTTTAAATTTATGTTGCTTTTTGTTTAGAAGCACAGAATATGAACTTAATTATGTATATTATGTCTTCAACGCATTTAACGAGATTCATTTATTTCATCAAAAGCCTAATATATAGCCGAATTAAGCTTGTTGTACACTCTTAGTGTACATCAAGTTTTACACTTCATTATGTGTCAAAATTTGAGTCATTATTTATTTAAAGTATTGTTAAAATC